TAGAAAAGCATCCATACTTGATGTATCAAGCAGATGATGGAGGTGATGCTTTTGCTCGATGATGGAAGCATTTATTGTTATATTATGCTCGATGCTTACAATCCTGAGAATTGACAAATTGACGAATATTATATGTGGAGACACGCTTTAAACCAGGATGAAACCAAATTCAATCAATCGCTAGAAATTTTGAACCTGTATATGCTTGAAGGTCTATCATGATTCAGCTTATGAAGGTTGAGGTATGTAGATGCAAAAATCAGTTGACTTGCATAACAAGAAACACAACTAAAAATAATAGCATACATAAAGAGTAACAGTGTATAGTGAAAGAGAAGTGTGATTCATTTCTCACAATTTGAAACAAACCTGGAAGAAGGAAAAGGCAATATCTGCAACCACATCTCTGGAATTGTGAATGGTTTGATACAAGCTGAAACGGCTTATCATCTCTGCAAGAAACAAAACATGGATTTACATTAGGACTAAGTACCAAATCTCGCATTTTTAATAGAGCACCCAAGGAGAAAAAAAAGAGCTCGCCAACAACAACAATAATATATAAGATATGAGATCCAGAAAAATGGTATGCTTGTCAACAACAATAGATAAATGGAAAACAAAATGTTTGGAGATCCTGAAACATGAAGAAGTACCAAAGTTGCAAGGATTTCATACATTACTGCAATGGCCAATGGAAACACAATTGCAAAACCAATTTAGTACTCTGTATATGTAAACATGCTAATGTGAGCTCCACTGGAAAAATTTTCCTATCACCACCACCACCTGTAATCAAACAAACCAAAAAAAACTTTGCAAACCAATTTGAGCAGTGAACTAATCTAAAATCATTGAAGCATCCATTAACCAGCAGAGAATGGATCTCAAGAGACACAACATAATGGAGTTCAAACCTGAAAACGCAGACCTTAGTGGACCTTTGTAATGGAGGAATCAATTCTACCAACCTGAAAACTACGCTCACTTAGGTGTTGAGTATTGGTTCCTCTGTTTCCTCGTCGATTGTTGGAAACTAAATAATGGAATGATTCATAACAATCCGGGCAAGAGGCTGTTGGTGCTTAAATTTGAGAGAGAGAGAGATACATACCTTGTGTGATTCGCTCTGGACGACCTTATCTGAGAGTCCTGCTAGCAGCGAGCTGCATCCTTTTGCCGAGGAAACCCTAGAGGAGGAAGAGATGATTGCCCTGGAGGTGAAAAGTATTTTTTTAGAAAGAAAACGACAATTGTTAACAGAAATCGAATGAGAGGTGTAGATCTTGGATGAGAATAAAGACCTTTGCAATAGGTAGCCAAACTTCTAAGGTCTGCTCGCTTGTTCCATAGCACTCAAAGCTTCCCTAGTAGAAGAAGAAGTAGAATAGACAGAGGAAGTGAATCGTTAACTATATATTGATTTTCATACATACACATCATATAGTGGTATTAAATCCTAGAGAGTAAAAGAGGAAGATGAACATGGGGTAACGGAACGGAAGAATGAACGATTCAAAATCAGAAATACTAATACGAAATACTGAAGTGACACGTGTAACTTCAGATGGTTGAAGTTCTCATGGAATTGGAAGAGAATGTGGAGAAGAAGGCCTTGTTGTTGTAGGGTTTGGGTTGTTTCAGAGTGGGCCGAAACAGGTTTAGGCCCAAATAACGTGGACACGTGTTAATTTCTGTGTGCTGACATGGCGGAAGCAGAAGAGACTCCTCCTTCTTTTATATAGTAGATTTCTTTTCCAATTCCTTATTCAAAATAAGACAAAATAATTATTGAAAGATTAATGACCATATTGATATACATTGCATCTTCAACATTTTTTCTTTAAATGTTTTCATAACCAAATTGAAAGTAAAATTTGTAAATTTTCCTATCAAATTTATCCAATCACTACTCACTAGCTTACCGTATCCAATTAAGTAACATAAAATTAACAACATTGTCAAGGTAAAAATGTCTAGTGAGTAGTAACTATTCTGTTTTGTTTATTGTTCAATTATTGGCCGTATGACTAGTTTCCGTTTATGTCCATATAGATTTTTACGTTACGCTATTAATAAAATCGTGACACTCAAATACATTAACATTTTGATTCGGGTCTAGATGAA